TGATACAAGGGGTCTCTGTAATCATCAATCAATAGTGAATTTTCGCAATTGGGCTTGCCTCCGTGGTTTTTTCCCTTTCCGGGTTTTTCACGTAAAAGTTTCTGGAGTCATCACTATTTGTTTCTCTTTCATCTGTGTGTGTGTTAAATTCTTGTAAAACGCTAGGACGATAATCTATTACTCTACCGCTGCAGGTTTTCCAGCATACATCTAGAAAATATTGCTATTTTAACATTTAAAATCTGAATACAACTTTTCATGCATAGGTCAGTGTATAAAATATATATATATATATATTTGAAATTTAGGTGTTGGGTATGTAAATACATAAAAATTGAGTGATGTGTACGTAAATCTTCCAATTTATTTATATACAAATGATGATAATAAACCTAAACATCGTTTCATTTAACTTTTTCTTGGTTTAAAATTTATTTAGCTCTTCATTTGTAAGGGATGCTTCGGGAAATGATATTAGAAGTGCATGCACTACTTTTAAGATAAATTTAATTCTATGCTGAATCAATTTTTTTTAGCTGGAAGATATCTTGATGCTTTGAAGTATTTTATATGAAAATGGACAAGATCTGGGCAACAGCTGATCTTTTCCTTGCTTCATTAAAGATTCATGTAGGCATAGTTTGAAGAACCGGGAGACAAATTGGGGACAAAGGTACAAAGATTAGATATAGGTATGGATATTGGTAGACAGTGAATGGAACAAAGAATAATTTATATGGTGCAATTTTTAAGAAATCATGGCCCTACTTCTTAATTAAAATGATTTTCTCGGTTAAGAATGAATATAAGATGAGACTTGAAACGAGGAGAATAGTCTAAAAAGGAATATTTTGGAAATTTTTTAATGGAGATAATTTATTTTGCTTTGTTCTTTTTGCTAAATGCTTATTTAGTCATTGGGGGCATGAAAATGCGCTTTTCCTCATTAAAATCTCCCTTCTCTCTTTATCTTCTCCTCTAAGGGGTTGTTTAGCTGACAGTTTTAATGGTGTGTTGCAAATTAAATACATGAATTTGTAACATTTTTATGTTTGATATGTTGTGAATTAAAAATCTAATAAATTCATGGGGTATTATAGTTTTACAGAAAAGATGTTTTTTGATATAAATGAAGTCTGCTCAAATGGAACAAAAATCAATTATGTTGCATTGTTCTCATTCTCTAGGTTGCAAACAACTCTCAAGCAAGTGGAGTGTCACACTCCGCCATTTTTAGAGTAATTAGCAAGCTAACCTTGAGAAGAAAGATTCTAGAAAAGAGCAATCCGAGAGACTTTAGAAAGTTCCACTGCATCCTAGAGAATGTAAGAAGGGGATGCTTCAGGAAGAAAACTAAGATAACCTAAAAAGCTCTAGAATTACATATGTATACAAAAGGACAACATAGAACTATTTCTAGAAGTTAGTCTATTATAATGTAATCTAGAAAATTTCCTAAGGCTTGGAGGAGGACTATAAATAAAAGTCCTCCCCTCATTTGAGACCATCTAAAGTTCTTAAGCAATCAAGTGTGTAATCTCTCTGTTATTTTGACCCCCAATTATTGAACTAAGGTAAAAGGGCATTTTTGTAATGTGGTACCGCTCACCTACCACATCTCACCTACCGGTCACCTACCGGTCACCTACCGCTCACCTACCGCTCACATACCGCTCTCTTGCTTCTCTAAATAGA